GATCATGGTGTATGATCTTCTTAATGTATTGTTGTATTCGGTTTGCCAGTATTTTGTTGAGGATTTTTGCATCAATGTTCATCAGCGATATTGGCCTGTAATTTTCTTTCTTTGTATTGTCTTTGTCTGGTTTTGGTATCAGGGTGATGTTGGCCTCGTAGAATGATTTAGGAAGTGTTCCATCTTCCTCTATTGGAATTATTTTTGTAATTTCCTTTTCAGAGTGTCCGTTGTTAGCGTATAGAAATGCAACTGATGTTTGTGTGTTGATTTTCTATCCTGCTACTTTGCTGAATTCATTTACTAGTTCTGTTTTTTTGTGGAATCTTTAGGGTTTTCTACGTATAAGATACTGTCATCTGAAAACAGAGGTAGTGTTATTTCTTCCTTTCCAATTTGAATCCGTTTTGTTTCTCTATGTTGCCTAATTGCTCTGCCTAGAACTTCCAGTACTAGTGTGAATAAAAGTAGTGAAAGCAGACCTCCTTGCCTTGTTCCTAATCTTAGAGGAAAAGCTTTCAGTCTTTCACCATTGAATATGATGTTCATTGTGGGTTTTTCATATGTGTCTTTTATTATTTTGGGATAGTTTCCTTCTATTCCTAGTTTGTTGAGTATATTTATCATGAAATGGTGTTTCAATTGAGACGATAGTGTGGGTTTTTTTCCTCCTTCATTCTGTTAATGTTGTATATTACATTGATGGATTTTGGTATGTTGAATTATCCTTGCATTCCAGGAATAAATTCCACTTGGTCATGGTGTATAATCTTCTTAATACACTACTGAATTCTATTTGCTAGTGTTTTATTGAGTATTTTTGCATCAATGTTAATAAGGGATATTGGTCTGTGTTTTTCTTTTCTTGTAGTGTGTTTGCCTGGTTTTGGTGTCAGGGTATCCCTTAGATTCTGTTCACTTTTCTACAATCTGTTTTCTTACTGTTCCTCAGACTTAATAACTTCTATTGTCATATATTCAAGTTCACTGATTCTTTATTCTGCCTGCTTAAATCTGCTTTTGAATCCCTCCAGTCAGTTTTTCATTTTAGTTATTGTACTTTTCAGCTCCAGAATTTCTATTTGGGTTTTTTTATCTCTTTGTTAATATTTCCATTTTGTTCATACATTTTTTTTTTTTTTTTACTTTATCCACACCTTCCTTTAGTTCTTTGAATATCTTTAGGATGATTTGTCTAGTATATATGCCATCAGCTCTTTTTCAGGGACAGTTTCTGTTGATTTATTGTTTTCCTTTGAATGGGCCATACTCTCCTGTTTCTTTGTACTCCTTGTGATTTTTTTTTTTGTTGAAAACTGGACATTTGTGTTGTAGACTGAAATAGAGAGTCTGGGTAAAGGTTAATTAAAGGAGTTTATTCGATAACCAGAGTGAAGAATTTGAATCCCAGGAAACAGTCCAACAGAGTATTCTGAGGAACTGCTCTGAGGTCTACAGATCTGAGTATAGTTTATATACTTTTTTTTTTTTTTTTAACATAGCAGTGTATGTGCAGAAAAGGGCTTACACTTCTAATATCCATATACTTCAAAAATAACATAAACAAGAACTTTTTGGTTATTCATCACACAGGGCTTGGAGTGTTGGTGTTACCTATGTGTGAAGGGAGGCAAGGACCAGGGTCTCTACCTCAATCTCTAAGAAATGTGGCTGGGAAATGTGGGAGTGAGGTACTCTTTATCTTTTCTTGTTGTGGATCTATCCAGCTGGTGTCTTCAGTCATGAAGTATGCGGTTGCAAAGTCATCCTAACACAGGCTTAAGATAGCCTGCGTGGCTGCTTCACAGTACAGCATAGATTTTTATTGTACTGACTTGAAGCCTTTGGAGTTTGCTTGCTAGATTCACCTGTTAGACCTAGGAGAGGGGTCCTGGTTTCATTCACAGCATCTAATAATATGGTAACCCTGGAAATCAGATTCTCCCCCTACCCCAGGGTTTGCTGTTTTTTATTACTGGTTTTTTGTTGTTGTTGTTGTTGTAGGATATCTCTGTGCCATGAGTCAGCCTGAGGTGTAAACTTAAGGTCTTCTCAGGTTTTTATGATCCTTTTCTTGGGCATGCACAGTCATTTTCTAATTTTCCCTGTATATGAATCTATTTTTAATGTGCTAGTCTTTAATGTCGGACTTCCAAAAGGGGAAAAGGAGAAAAATGAAGGGGGTAAAAAAGGGTTATGGCCCTTTAAATCCCCTGGAAGTCACTTTGGCCAGAGGGGGAGGGCTTTGCAACCATGGGAGAGGTGCAACAACAATAGTTGCTCACCTCTCTGCTTTTCTTTGACAAGAAGCAGCAATCAGTGCACAAAGCCCTATATTTGGAGTACAGTGTCCTTTTTGCCACCCTACCTTTCACCAGCTGCTGTACAAGCTACTCCAGGAACCTGTGAACGGTTGCTTGCCATGTGGCTGGGGGTGGGGGATGGGGTAGTGTTACTGTGCTGAGAGCTGAAATTGACCAAAATTAACCCCAATTTATGTCTAAGTCTTCACCTGGAAGTTGCAAGCCTTTAATATACTCCAGAGTTCCAAAACAGTTACATCAGACAGAGCCTGCCAGTGCGGTTGTTTGCTGTCTAGGTGGGGAGACAGATTCTGGTATTTCCTACTCTGCCACCTTCCCCAAATCTTCTCTTCTTCCCTTCATTTTTGAAGAATTTTAAGTTGACTGTTGTTTTCCTTCACCACTTAAAATATGTCGTTTCATTGTTTTCTGTCAGATTTTTTTTTTGATGAGAATTCTGCTGTATGCTTATCTTTATTTCTCTCTAAATATGTCTTTTTTTCCCCTCTGGCTACTTTTACAGTTTTCTTTTCCTCCTCAGTTTTTCACCAATTTGGTTATAATAATCCTAAATGTGGAATGTGTGCATGTGGATGTATACTCTCATATTTATCTTTCTCGGTATTCATTAAGATTCTTGGATCTGTTGATGCATAATTTTCATGAAATTTTGAAGATTTTTTTACTTTTATTTCATCAGATTTTAGTCTATTCCCCCTCTTTTTAGGACTCCAGTCACACATATAAAATACTGCTTGATATTGTCTCACATGTCATTTGGATAGATTCAATTGCTACATCCTCAAATGCACTGATCTTTACATAATCAGTAGTATCTAATCTGCTGTTTTTTTATCCAGTGAAAATATTATTTCAGTTATTATATTTTTTCCACTCTATAATTTCCATTTGTTTCTTTTTTATATCTTACAGTTATGTCTTCATTATGCTTATGTTTTCCTTTACATCTCTTATATACATCATCTATATTTTTCTTTCACATGGTTTGATACCCTTGTTTACTAATTATATCATGTCTTTCATTTTTGAGTTTGTCCTTATTGAGTAACTTCTCCCAATTATGGTTACATTTTCCTGCTTCTTTACATGTCTGGTAAATTTTGGTTACATGCTGGACATTGTGATTTTACCATGCTGGGTGGTATATTTTGTTGTATTCCTTTAAAGAATTTTGGACTTTCTCTAGCAGGCAGTTAAGTTACTTGCAGATTAGTTTGATCCTTTGGAGGATTGTTTTTAAGTTCTTTTATGGAGGCTCTAAAGTCACTCTAGTTCTAAATTATCCTCATTTCTAAGGCATAGCCCTCTGGAGCCTCTAAACAATGTCCATGTAATGATTGAGGTCTCTCCACTCTCCAAGGATGGAACTTGAATGATTCACACTCCTCTGTGAGCTCTGCAAATTGTTTGTCTTAGAACTTTCTGGTAATGTTTCTTTTCTTGAAAGTTGTTCTTGGCAAGCTTTATAGAGTTTTCTCTGCACATTGTACAGATTGATATTTAGCCATACACTCAAGGGACCTCTGTACTTATTTTTCTGGAACTCTTTTTTTTTTTCCCCCTGCATAGCTCCATCCTCTATGGGACTCGAGCCCACAAATTTTAGCTGTCTTGACCTCTCCTTAATCTCCTCTCTTTCTCTTCATTTCAGCACAATAGCTGGGTTCCTTTTAGGTTACCCAGCCCCCTGCCACAGTCTAGTATTCACCTGCAAGAAGGAAGCTGTGGTAATGGTAGAGCTTATTTCATTTGTTTGCCTTTTCTCAGAGATCATCATACTGTGCTTCCTGTTATCCATTGGCTGAAAAAAATTATCTTCTTTTGTCCAGTTTTCTAGTTATTTATGGGCAGGAGGCTAAGTCTCCCTCATGGCCATTAGAGAGTTCTCCTCATAGGTATTTTAATGAGAAAGGAAGTGAGATTTTTATAAAAGCAGAGCTTCTTCAAGGCAAACAGCAGATAACAGATCCAGGAACTTTTCTAATGAGACCATCTGAGTGAAGGGTCTAGGACCAGAAATACTCACGGCGGGTGCCTAGCTGGGAAATGGGTCAGAAAAACACAGAAAGATTGTGTGAATGCCTGCTTAGTATGGTTCTGGGGACCTCAGGGCCTTGCCCCATCCTCGCCCCACTCATCTTGCTCTCAGGTCACTGCTGTACCTATTGTTTTCTTGATGTCAGAAAGCCCCTGGATAGGGAGGCAACTCTTTCACCATCACTATTATGATTATTATATATCACAAAAGATTGGTCCCTAGAGCAGAAAAATATTAGCATCAAAGTGTAAATGACTGCTACTTAGTCCTTTGCTGAGATTTGGGAGGGAGTAGAGAGCCTTAGTAAGACTTGTGACTTTGATGGGCTTTCTGAGAACCCTATCTGCCAAGGGGACTGAGTTCAGCCTATCTACCCCTTTCCCTCTTGTCCCCCTCTGCTTGCAGTTATGATGAGGTGCCTTTTCTCATGCATGACCATGACCTGAGAAGAACAACCAATATTCGGAAAGTCATGCCAAACGCCTCCTTCCAGCACCCTTCTCATTTCACATGGAATTTCTTGTCGACTCTGAATGCAGGCAGATGGTTTGTACAGCCAGAGGTAAGACACATTCCCCAGCTCAACAAACCTTCAGTGAATCCCTCTTCTGTACAAGGTCATGTGCTAAACAGCTCCTGGAGATAAAGGCTTTAGATGAAGATAGGCACGCATACACACAATTTTGTTCCAGTTTTGTAACAAGACTATAACTTTGGTGGGAGGATTTTTCTAGTAATGCAGTCAGTGTAATTACTCTTTCTATATTCACTGGAAATTCTGAAGACAAACTTGCTCTTGTCATTTATTTCCTTTTTATCCAAGCGTTTCATAAACTTTTACAGTGGGCCTCCCATGTATATAGCGTTTTCCTGGGCATTTGGGGTAGCTTACAATCATAGATGAGACAGACTAGGAAACATATTTATTCTTGATTCTTTCTTCTTACCATTCAACAAATATTTATTGAGTATCTATTGGATACTAGGCACATGGAATACAATGGTGAATAAACACACACCCAGCCCTAATGGAGTTCACAGGATAATGTAAGAAACAGGCAATTACAATACATTATGATAAGTGCTAAACTAGAGTTAATTTCAGGTTGCTTAGGAGCACACAAGAACAATTTCTGTCTCAGTCTGAGGGATGGGGATGGGGGATTCTGGAAGAAGGAGATGTATAGGCTGATAAAGGTGTGGTAAAATATAAAGCATGTGCTGTGTACAGTGTAATTTTGAGGCAAGAGTGACTGGTTCTACTTGAGAGAGTTAGAGAATACTTCATGCAAATGTATCATTTGAGCTGAGGGAAGATCATTCCTAAGGGGAACCATGGGCAATGATGGTGGTGTGTTTCAGAGATTACAGTATACTGGAGCAAGAGGGGATATGGTGTGTGTGTGTGCACATGTGTAAAAGAAAGAGAGGAAGGGAAGGATGGAGAGAAGGAGAGAGGGGAGGAGTAGGGAGGAGATGGAAGATAGATTAGGAGAAGAATCGGGGAAAACATGTTGAGAGGAGATTATAGCAATGCTAAATAACAAGTTAGAGAGTTTAGAATTATCCTGGGTATTTTAAAGTGGGTAAAATCAAAGGTCAGATTTGCACTTGATAAAAGTCAAGCCTGCCTTCTCAAGATAGATTAAACAAAACAACTTACATTTTCCAGCGTATCATATGTCTAGGAGAAATCCATGTGACCTAGGTTTTACCAATCAGACATACTCATTTGAGACTTTGATTTTGAAAATAAACATCTGATCAGGGCAGAAAGCAGGCATCTGTACTGCTGGCACCTGTGGCAGTAAGGATAGCGTGCTGTAGGGGTCAGCTATGTAATAGCTCTCTTATCAGGTAATTGTGTAATTAGGAACATCTTAAGGTGTTTTTGATTATGTACTAAGGGTAAAATGGAATTTTATTTGTATTTGATGTTAATCCTGAGGACATATTTGATCCTTTTTCATGTAAAAGTAGTGAAAAGTAAAGAATTATAAAAGGATGCACTTATCCACCACAGACGCATTCTATTAACTAGTGTTAACATAAGGGATAGCTGAAAGTAGATTTGTAATTACTGTGTCTCCTCAGAATACTTTTTTCCTAGGAGTACATAGCCTATAAACGCTGTTTCCATATGTGAAAATAATGAGATCACTCTGATATTCCAGGTTTGTGTATGTAGGCTCTGTATATAGGTCCCATCATACATGCGTAAATGGACACATACAAGTTAGAGATGCTCCGGTAGAATGTATATATTGGATTAGTTAGGCATAGTTAATGTTTGGTAAATGTGTGTTCCAGATGAAAAAGCTGTTATATCTGTTGCATAATGTATGGCTTGTAAAAGTCTTACTTATTGTAAGTGGTAGGGTTGGATATGTTATTGCAATAAATTTTGGTGGATATTTTTTAGGATTAATAGTTTGATGTTAGCATATTTAGGTGGTATGCTTGCAGTGTTTAGTTATACTATTGCTATGGCTACTGAGGAGTATCCTGAAACCTGAGGTTCAGATATGGTTGTCTAGGGGGCTTTATTTTTAGGTTTGATTGTAGAGCTTTCATTGCTTGCATGCTGTGTGGTCAGAGGTGTTTGAAGTGGTGTTGGCATGTGATTTAAAAGATTCGGATGTTTGGGTAATTTTTCATAGCAAAGAGATTGGTTTTGTTTGTGAAGATTATTCTGGTTGCTCTTCATTGGATTGTGGATTGATGATGGTGAGTTAATTATTATTTGTTAGTGTATTTATTATTCTTGAGATTACTTGTGAAAATTAAGTGGTTAATCTGATTGATTATGAAATAAAAATAGATACAGAAGTTCTGGGAGTTGTTCCCGGAAGCTCAGCTGAGTTCCTGTTTCTCCAGCAAAACGAACATTTCTGTGGAGCTTTCTTAAATCCTTTTGTGAAAGTATAATTCTCAAAGTGACAAAAATATAATTCTTATGCATATACATAGTCAGCATGAGTACAAGTTTTATTTAGCATGTTAATGAGGGAACAAGCAGGATGACAAAACCTGCTCCAAAAACAAGTGAGAAATGACATGCATATAGTCAGTGCAACAAAGAAAGGCTGAAGTTAGTTAGATATAAACCTAGTGCATTAACTTGGTTAATATACTCTGTGACAGTAAAGCCATATCTTTAGAGTTATCTGCTCTGTCAAAGATCGCTTGCATCTCAGGGCCAGCCTGGTGGCATAGTGGTTAAGTTCGCATGCTCCACTTCCACGGCCCAGGGTTCGTGGGTTCGGAACCCCAGGCACGGAAGCTTATCAAGCCCTGCTGAGGCAGGCGTCCCACATATAAAGTAGAGGAAGAGGGGCATGGATGTTAGCCCAGGGCCAGTCTTTGTCAGCAAAAAGAGGAGGATTGGCAGATGTTAGCTCAGGGCTAATCTTCCTCACACACACAAAAACATCACTTGCTTCTCTACTGGACAAAAATCATTTCTACTTTTATCAGTTTTCTGCAGGTTAACATCTAACTTTACATAGTCTGGTCCTAATCAATAGTAAATAGTAATTCAAACAAAGGTATATTCCCCTAAGAGTCAGATGACCCTTAGGTGGGCTTGTTAAAGAATGCACTACCATGATATTACAGAGTCCAGAAATCTACTTTTTGCCTTATTTCTAAGTTTTGAATAATTTAATAGGCTCTTCTTGTGATCATAAATAACTTCTATAGATTATTTAGAGGCTGATCTCATTGTGATTTTGTGTTATTTGGCTTTATTAATTTACATAGGTGCAGTAAGAGAGTCAATTAGCACACTTAAGGTTCCTTGTATAATCAGCAAATACAGAGCCAGATCATGTCATATGACAGTGTTAAACCACTTCTAAGGCCATTAAGTTAGGTTCTGTAGGAATCTAGAATTTCATTTTAATAATCCCTATCATTCCAGAGCTCTTTTTATCGTTATTATTTACAAAACAAGAAATTCGTTTTCGCCAGGTTTTACCTGTATACCTACAAATGTGGGCAAATTCATCTCTCCTTTTCCTGCGAGGCAGTGACCTTTCTTAATACCTGTAATGCTGGGACAATGTACAACGACAGATACCAGACAGTTTGCATAGGAGGGCTATGCAATACCTATAGGTATTGGTTCCAAATATCAGTTATATCTGTGTCCTTAATGGGGACTAGGGGCTTGTCGTATCTGATTGAATGGAATGTATTCTCAAATATGATCCTCCGGATATGGCCACCGTTGTGCAATTTGTCCAATTATATCCTAGTGAAAAGGAGGACAGATTTTTATTCAACATATGCAAATGACTTCATTGTTATGAAAAGTTGAGACTCAGTAAAAAGTGTTTGTACCTGAATTCTGAGGGGTTGATGAGAATAAGATACTAAATACAAAGAATGTTTTGCACAAACATAAGTGTTAGAGAAAAGTCAAAAGAAAATGGGTTTTCTCATATGCTCATCAGATAATAGAATGTTAAAAATAGTACCAACAAAATTCCAAAATGAATAAACGTGATTAGATTGCCCTCATCTGTTCATTCAATCTGGCATAGTTAATGTCCTGCTGTATCTTCAGTTATCAGTGTGCTTTCACAAAGTTATCTGCTCCTAGTCTAAAATTTAATCTTGGAAAATCCTGACTCAGGCCCCTACAGACAAATTGGTATCTACCTGAGATGGAAATGTTAGCTTACACCGGGAAGCCTGTTTCTGTGAGTTTATTCCTTGCAGTATCAATAGATAAGAGGATCTGTTACAGTCATTTCAACCAAGGTTTTGAGTCTGTTCTTTCCAATTTCTGATCTGTATCTTATAGAAGAGACCTTTAGACAAGCATGGGAATAAAGCAGAAACCACATGATGATGATAAAACTGAATTTGTCTGGTTAATTTATTAGAGTAAACAGCAATATCAGAAAGGAGGAGAATAAAATACTCTATTAATAGAGTATAATGCATAACTATTTTTAAAATATTTGGTCTGTTTCCCTTGAGGGTAAAACATATTATAGGCATTGAGAACATGAACAGATCTCCTGGTACTTCCAATCCATTCTTTAACGCTTTAAAAATTGTCAAACTCTGAAGCATATTTATATTATAGTTTTACCTGTACAGTATTAACTGGGAAGGTAGAAGTTCTCTTTTTATATTTTACAGCTCCTGCTATAATGAGGACTTAATAAACCAGCAGTGTTTATAATAATGTTCAGCTATATATGAAGCATGGACATTTCTACTTCTGGCCGTGACAATTTACAAGTACTGGACTTGTCCTCCTGTATAAACAACTAGAAAACTAGACAAAATATATGAAACAACTGTTCTCAGATATTGGACAACAGGCAGTGCAGAGCTGTGATCCATGAGAGAAGGGAGTAAATTAGGACAGCGTATGATTGCCCTCATGTTCTGCCTGGAGGCACTTTCCAGCTATCACACATCAGGAGGAACCTAAGCAAAGCACGGCTGTCTTGTGGAATTGGGGAGAGAGAGACTGGATTTCAGGGAGGCCCAAGTGGCTGGAATTTTCAGGGAAGAGTATGAAAAGGGAGAGAGCTCTCCAGA